TATGATGGTCAGACCCAATGTACAGGGCAGATTATGGAATTCTGCGCAGCTGTAAGAACTGAGCTTGAAATGCTAAAATCGGATGATGCTGAAATTTTGGCTTATTTTATTATGAAAATTTAAATTTTTTTGAGGTGTTTTGTTCAGCCTTTTTTTATAGTTCGATTAGAATTTAGGTTTAGTGTATATAATAAAAGGGTATAGGTGGACTTTAGCAGGGTTTAAAATTTTAAATTAGGGCCCCAAATTTCAGCATCATCCCAGACAATAAATAAAGGCTATAAATTTAGTGGCCAAAGTTGGTGCATTAAATTTAAGACGGAACATCAAATGACAGAAATACTTGAGAAAATTTTCTTTCCGGAATAAAAATAAGAATATACTATCTTTAACACACATTATGGGCGGTGAAGCCGCATACATGATCATGTCTCTAGTTATCTATAATAAAAATGATGGATGTGAAATTTTCTTTCTGAGAAATTTGGTTGTAGATTTTCTGCACAAAGATATCGTATCGTAAAATAGTCCCAAGATTCAACAATACACGGTAAAAAGTCGATACAACCTGGTTCACGCATGCCATGATCATTATAACATACAGAACAATTGATTAAGTTATAGTAAAATTGTAAATCTTTTAATGACATGTAAAAATGACATTTAAAATTTTTCCTTTCCGGAATTCATATAGTAAAAAGTCAATACAATTTGAATGGTTTGCACATATAGGTTGGTCAAAATTATAAATCTTAAAAAAAACATTAACTCGATTACAAATAATTAGGCAAAATAAGAAAAAAGATAAGATAATTTACTAACATAAAAATAAACTATTGCTTAATGATAGCATAAATACTAATGATGATAATAGTAAATAAGCATAATGAAAATATTTCTTGCCTAAGGAATATTCTGCCTAAAATTTTTCTTGTGCACCCATCATAAAAATGGGTTTATACTTGTCAGGAATTTGCATTCCTTTGCCAACATATTTCTCAAGATTTGAATATATAGAATATGGAAATGGTATTTCCTTTGGTGCAGAAACAGCATCTAACCTTGCCATCTGTTCAGGTGTTAATCTATTTATTTAAAGTCATTAATAAATGTTATGGATCAATTTAATACAACGATAACGAAAATTTATAAAAAATTTTACTTGAATTCAAGAGCGCCAAGATTTTCAATTAATTGAGCTTTTGTTCTAGCACCGATAAGAGGCGAAGTAATGCCAGGTTTTTGTGAGATCCAATTCAAAGCGATCTTTTAATTTTAAAAATAAATAAACGAAAAAAATATAAATGATTATAGACAATTCAAGTTATGAAGTTACCTGAACAGGAGTTCTCTTGGTTTCAGCAGCAATAGTTGTAACTTCATCAAAGATTTTCCAATTTTGCTCATTTTCAGCTAATCTTTTAATTGAGTTAACACGTTGACTTCTCATAGTATCAGGCATTTCTAAGTTAGCAGCCGATTCTCTGGTATATTTTCCTGTCAAGAACCTAGGTAAAAATACAGTATTAATAATGAAAACAGAAGCCAGTCAGCATAGATTAAACAACAAAGAAAAAAAAAATTAAATATGATTACCCTTCAGCGACACATCCCCAAGGAATAATTCCATCCTTTATGATAAAAATTAATAAGTTATTTATGATATCATCACCAGACTTGAAATCAAATTCGAGCAAAATAACAAATGTTAAAATGTATTTACATCATGTTCAGCACAAGCAGTTTGTATATCCTGTTCCAAAGATCGATTTAATAAATTATATCGCGTTTGCATCCCAACGAATTGACTTGTATAGTTAAGAAAAAATTTTTTTGTTATTCTTCATCGACAATAAGTAAACAAAATATGTATAGTATTACCTCCAACCACGTAATTCAGCCATCGTATTTGCACGACTAAGCACCCATGCTGGTGCATTGCTAATCGCGATATAAAGCACCTTTAGAAATTTATATTGAATGTTAGAAGTTAATTAATAATTATGCAAACCAACATACTAATTATTATATATCAAATAGCCTACCTTGCCACTTCTAACAACATCATCTAAAGAACGCATTACTTCTTCAATAGGAGTACGAAATTCCCAAACATGAACATACATGAGATCAATATATCCAGTTCCCAGTCGTTTAAGGCTTTGATCAAGGTTTTCAACAAGAGATTTGCGATGATTTCCACCTATAAGTAGAATATTTTTCAGAACTTATATTAATACATACAAGTCCATAAAATATAATCCCATAAAATGAATAATAAAAATTACCAGCATTTGGGTTATATCTGGCATTTGGCATTAAAGCGGTAGTATTTTCTTTATAAATTTACAGAAAGGTAAATATATAACTTAAATAAAGAATTTTTACGGTGAAACAAATAATCAGATTAACATACCAGTATATTTTGTGGCGATTACAACCTGAGAACGTTTATCGGCTATATATTCTCCAAGAAATTGTTCACTCTTTTTATTATATAACAAAAATGAACAATTAGCATATAGCATGTATTAGAGAATTTATGTGATCAATATTCATCATTACCTCTCCAAAATTGTATGCATTAGCAGTATCTAAAATAACAAACATCTTGTGAGTTCAAATATTTGTTATACAACACATTAAGTACTCTAAAATTAGGGATTTTAATCGATCCTGCAATAATAATTTTAAATAGACCTTAAACAATTTGTAAAAAGTATGCGTTTACTAATCTTTAATCAATAAAAATATGGAAAAGTAATTATCCTGTAATAACTAAATAAATAAAGGGAACACCTATTTCCACCATGAAAATTTACTATTTTCATCATTTACGCAATTTATCATGACAATATATTCTTCACGTTTATGTATGCAGAAACTGACGATTTTATCAAATATATAATTTTTATAACACTTTATATTAGTCGAAGCTAATTAAAAGTTAAAAAGGGTCAAACTTGAAAAACCAGTCAACAATTACTGTAGAACCGATTGATGCCATATAGGGCATATATAAAAAAAAATATACCGAAGAAATTTCCGCCTTTTTCATAATAATAGTCGAAAACCTTCTTAGACTCCTCAAAATTCGAACCTACTCCCTATTCAGAGTCATTAATATTTGTAAGCGCATATAGTTTTCATGTTGAGAGAACATACTGAATCATGTCAAAGAAAAGTCTTACAAATTTTTCGCCAAAAGTCTTGAATTGATGCCGTTAAAAAAACCATTAGTTTAAAATACTAATTATGATGATGTCAGAAATTAAAATTATACCAATGCGCCAAGACATAGAGGAGAAATCCTCAAGCCACTACGTCCTAGAAGAACATAATCGTCAAGTGCTCCAATGGTTTCTTTAATATCAGTTGAGTCTTGTGCCATTTTGTATTTCTTTCTTTTCTCACTTAACTAAAAACTTTACATAACTAAAAGGAATATCGACTTAATTTATAACATTTTGATTCCGTATTTACGTTCTTACGTACGTACGTACGTACGTGTATTCGTATGTACCTGTATACTTATGTTCGTTCGTACGTACGTACAGTACATACCAGATACATACGTAAGTTCGTACGTACGTACGTATAGTTCATACATACGTAAGTTCGTACGTACAGTACATACATACGTACGTACGTACGTACGTACGTACGTACGTACATACGTATGCAAAATTGATTGACAGAAATTTAATTTTCTAAAATTGGATAAATTTATTGAAAAGTTTACTGAATTTAGTAAATTCATAAAATTTTAGTGTTTCTTTTATACGTACGTACTTAAAAGA